CTAACAGAGTTAATTATCTGAACATTATTTCTGATTAGCTAACTGTTGTTCCCATTGAATGGGAAGATTGTTGCTATGGAATGTAGCTAGTTACATTATAAATCAGTTACTTTAGTTGAAGATGGATTTGAAACATTTCATCCTAACATATTTACAATTGCAGAATTGGTAACAGGTATGTACTGGGGAGGACGGGTTAGTCTGACAAACATTTATGATCTTCTTGTTTCAAAATATATTTCCTAGGAAAATTCATCAGGATTAATCTAACATATCACAAAATTAATTTCGGTTGAAGAAAAAAACAGCATAGCAGCCTTATTCTATGCACTAGCCTCACTATAGTGGGACTAGCTGGCCTGGCCTGAAAATATGACCTCAAAGTCCCATTACATCTAGCAGGTTTGTCCTGGTTGCTTTTATGGACCTATCACCTCTGGCCTCATGGATCTTCTGTAAATGGATATGTGGATACAGCTAAACAACATTTTATGTTTATAAGACACATGGGGTGGGGGGGGGGGGGGGAGTAGAAAGACACATTCCAGTAACATCATGTCAGGCAGGTGGCTCTTTCCTTCCTTCACACTGAGATGCACCAGTGGAAATATTAAAATTCATACACCAAGCAAGGGGCTTCCACTGACACGATATTGAGCCTGCTGGACCTCCAGCTATATCACCATGACAAATCAAGTTTCACTATTTTACTGCAAAGTAACATTTACCATTCAACAGTTTATTGTGATCACAGCTTGAGGCCTCAGTCAGGTAAGGGCTCCATTATGCTAAGCCCTGTAAAAATATATAGTCAATGACAATCTGTGCCCCAATGAGCATACAGTTAGAGGTGGTTGGAAAATGGGGACATTTTTCAGAAATGCCTGTTTCCATCATTGTGCTGTCAGGAGAGGAGGCAGTTTACACACTGCCCTATCTTATAATCATAGAAGGGGGATCCCACAGTGCAGAAAGGAAGTGCACAAAAATTAATACAGCCTCATGCAGTATATTATATACACATATTCTACACACACACAGTACATATGTGGGGGATGATAACCACATGGTAAATTGCATAATTGCATGTATCAGGCACCTTTGACCACCTACATTAAAAAATAGTCACGATTAATTGCAATTTTCATCACACTGTAAAATAACAATAGAATATCAATTTAAATTTATTATACATATTTTGAATGTTTTCTACATTTTCAAATAGATTGATTCAATTGCAACGCAGAATACAAAGTATACAGTGCTTACTTTATGTTATTATTTTTATTACAAATATTTGCACTGTAAAAAAGATAAACAAAATAAATAGTATTTTTCAGTTCAGTTCATACAAGTCCACTCAGTCCTACTTCTTGTTCAGCCAATCGCTAAGACAAACAAGTTTGTTTACATTTATGGGATATAATGCTGCCTACTTTTTTAGAATGTCACCTGAAAGTGAGAACAGGCATTTACATGGAACTGTTGTAGCCCAGGTTGCAAGGTATTTAGGTGCCAGATGTGCTAGACATTCCTATGCCCCTTCATGCTTCGACTTGTAGGCTCTAAAGTTTTACATTGTTTTGGTTTTGAGTGCAGTTATTTAAAAAAAATAATTCTACATTTGTAAACTGTACTTTCACGATAAAGAGATTGCACGACAGTACTTGGATGAGGTGAACTGAAAAATACTATTTCTTTTGTTTATCTTTTGACAGTGCAAATATTTGTAATCAAAACAATAATATAAAGTAAGCACTCTACACTTTGTATTGTGTTGTAATCCAAATCAATGTACTTGAAAATGTAGAAAAAAATCCAAAAATATTGGATTTAAATAAATAGGTATTCTATTATTGTGTAACAGTGCGATTAGAACTGTGATTAATCACAACTTTTTTAAAATCTCATGATTAATTGCAATTATTTTTTTAATGTTTGACAGCCCTGCTTTTCAACATTGCTCATGAATAATGCAGCCATTCCAAACTTCTGCCAATAAAACCTTCCCACCTCTAGCCTCCCCAACAATACTTAACAACATTACTATTACTAGGGCTGTGCTGACATCTCAGATTATTGGTTTGCACAAGGAAAGAAACAAAACCACCTGCTAATGCCAGTGGGAAACAATGGCATATTGATATTGTTTTCCAAACCAAAAGCCCCGTTTCTTTTTATGGGGAAATTGGCTAAAAATTAAAGCCCCAATGTCTAGTAAATGGAAAAGGAACAAACTGATAGAAAACACATTTCCCCCAGAGATGTTATTATAAATATCTAATGGAAGACAGACAGACGGATAGTATTTTAAGTATCCTTTTACCTAGAATGTACTGAGAGTTCGCTTATAATAAAGTCTCTCCTCCCCCAAATTTCTCTCCTCCCCCAAACTTAAATTTCACCCTTGCTGAAAGCAGAAATCTTCCTTTTCTAAGCTGATAATACTATAAAGTTCTATTTCTATGGTTTCTCCTTTAATGTGTCGGGTAAGGAAGTCACTAGGTCTTTTGTGCTGCCAGTAGTTGGCTTATCTCGTTGTCTGAGCCTGGCATGGTGGTTTTACAAAACCCTTTTTGGTAGCCCAGTGTACTCCCTTGAATGCTAGCTCCTCATTTTCAGTTTTCTAAAGCGGCTTTGTAGCTCCCTTTCCAGCTACTGCGTAGCATAGAACCAAGTCTCCATTATAAACACTGCAGGAGCGCAAGTAAGGGGTTTTCAAGAGCTGAGAATTGTTGGTAATATCCTCTTCGCTGTGTCCTTTTCCATTTAAAAAACCTTGATTTTTTTCACTCTCTTTTTAAACGGAGTTGACTGAAACTGGGATTTCGCCTTTTTTCACCTGCCTCCTCATCAGTGCTATCGGTAGTTTCTTAATCAACTGCTACTGTAAAGAAAAAATTAAAAAAGCAAAGCACAAATGTTTCAGTGGGTCTCAGGCAAAGAGGCTTTTTTATTTTGTTTGAGAGGAGGTGGTTCCTATTTTTCTATGAAGGAAAGGATGAAAAATGATATTTAGAATCTGGAGGAATTTCTTTACCAGCTTACAACTTTTTTATGATCGATTAGTTAGTTATTGGTCACTCACTACTTGAATGTTTCAGAGCCCTCCGTCTAAAGACATTACTTCTAAGAATACACCGTAGATCTAATTATAGTTAAATAAGGGGGTAGTCAGGACCTATAGCATTGGCCAGAAAGAGCGAGTGAGGCTGGTCTATATTGATTCAAGGTGCGGCACAAAACGTTATGTTTTCATTTCCTTGTACGGTCAGGAAAGACACTGTCTTTCGCATGCTTTTGCTGCCATTCCTCCTAAACGGTGGATCTTTGCTTATTAGCAAAAGTTGCTTATTAGCATAATTCCTGCGCTCTTCAATCCTGTTTCCCAGGCTCTCGAAGACTTCATGCCTCAGAACAACTGGATGAGTCATGAATACAAGAAGTATGGGTGTAAACTGAAGCTGTTTACACTTTCTTAGGCCTCCAGCTACTAAAATAGTAGAGATCGTCCGTATCACAGAATCCGTTTGAAGCTTCAGTTCAGCTTTTAAATCTCAGGAAATGTATAGGTCACGCAGTTTAAAGAGTTAGCAACACATTTAAGAGGCATTCTACATCTTACAGGAAGCTAATATGTTAAGTGAATGAGACAGATCGTATTTCCTTTTATAATGACAATCTGCCTAATAGTGCTTTAGAAATCACCAGCAAGGCTTGCCGTTGTGCTATAGGAACTACCTAACACACGTGCTGTTCTTTGCACGGCTATACAGAAATTGGATTTAGCTCTGTCTAGTTACCTGGGTCACCAAGAAATCAGGCAATAGCAGGTCTCCTTACACTCAGCGCCTTTTCCCTAGCGTTTTGCTCACCTGCGAACCGCCCTGGCTAGGGATAAGGACACGCTGTGGGTTTGGGGAACTTTGGATGAAATCAGTTTTAACGCAGCCTTCTCTGACCTGCTCCTTTAGAAATGATGTTACAGCTTTGGAATTGGGATTCGGAGTGTGTGTGCCTCTCTACCAAAGTGTGGTGTTATGTTACATCCGCTTGAAAATTTAGCCTAAAGATGCCGGCCAACTTCAGAAGCCTTCTTCATTGCTTGCCATGTAATACATGATATGTAGAGCCTCTGACTTCAGCCAAGAGATATTTGGAAACTCTGTCGGATCCAGTGTTGGGGGCTAACGTGTGTTTAGATCCGAAAGCGAATCAGAGGAGGCAGCGGAGGGCACGTCACCAGAAGGGGCCCTATAAATCCATCTCCATTGCTGCTTCGCCCTGGCAAATCGATTGCTTTGCATGTTGGCCTGCGCGCCCACATCTGCCCTCGTGTGAGACCCCTCCACTGGCAGGTCCCAAAAGCTGATCGCTCCCACCAAGCGCTCGGACCCCACCGGATTAAAGAGGGTCCCGCGCAGGTTGCTGTCGGGAGGAGCTGGATGCTCTCGCGCCAAGTTGGGATCGCTCTTACTCTACACGTTCCTCTCGGATCTAATCTTTCAGCGTGACGCGATCCCTTTCTGGAGGAGGGAGTCTTGCTGCGGCTGCTAGCTTACAAATCTCAGCTCCAGCCTCGGCTTCTCCCGCAGGCTGCGATTTCCCCGGCTCAGCTGTTTCTCGCGTGCATGCGTGAGTGCCCCGTTCCCCCTGGCCCAGCTGGCGTTCCGGGAGCCCTGATGTCTTCATTGGACTCCCCGCAGTTGTTGATGGGGTGTCTTGCTCAGATTTCCAGGCAGGAGCTCAGCCGCAGCATCCAGAGCCAGTTCTCGCTGCCAGGCGGCGCTTCGTGCGGTGCAGGCGGCTGCCGCTGCTGAGCTGGGACTCGGCTGCAGGGCAAGGATCGGCGAAAACCGAGCGCTGCCTCTGCTCTCCGCAGGGACCGCGCACCTGCGGCGGCGGGGGGAGGGCGCACGGAGCGGTGCCGGCGGCAGCAGCCCCTTCCCCTGATCCGGAATTGTGAACTTTCCCCCAGCCCCCCTTGGAGGATCCCCGAGCTGAGCCACATGCATCCCTTGGCGGCCGGCCGGGCTTCCTGGAGTTAATGTCCGTGCTGGGTCCGACGAGCCCATCTGAAAGGTAAGGTGACGTTTCTGCCCTTGGCGAGGCGCTGGGGGTGGCTGCAGGGAAGGCGGGGGGGCGGCGGCAAAGGCTCTGGATCGCTGCTCTTGAGGGCACAGGACGGATCCTGAGCACCCACGGGAAATAAACAGGTTTAATGTTCTTCCCCTCGGATCCTGGGAAGTAACCAGAGAGGCCCGCCTAGGCCACCTGGGTCAATGCAAACATCTGCGCCGCTCCCTGCAGTCCTCGCACCCGGGCGCCCTGCCCGGGCCCGCAGCCAGCGCCGGGAGTTTAAAGCTCCCCTTGCCCTCGGGGAGGAATTTCTGCCCTTCCAGGCGTTTTCCAGGCAGTGAGGATTCTCCTGAACCCCCGAGCTGGGGCTGACACTGGGGGATGGAGACTCGGTGTCTCCCCAGCGCCGCTCGCCAGCCACGCCCCGTGCGGCAGCTCCGAGCACCTCCCTGCCGCCGGCGTTTGTTCCCCGCTGGGCGAGGGTCCGCCAGACACGCTGCCTGGGCCCGCGGTTGCTGGTGGCTGCGCGGCGCAGAAGCTCCGGCGGGAAGTTCAGACACAAGGGCCCGAAGGCAGGAGCCGGCGAACCTCTTGCTGCCCTTGTCATCCTCGCCAGCCTGCAGCGTCTCTTCCCAGCCTGCCAGAGCCGTGCGCCCCGCTGGAGGGGCTGGTGTGCCCAGGAGGCTACGTGTTTACACCGGAGTAAGCGATCCGGGAGGGACTCAGCCACGGACCGGGCCCCAGCAATCAACGCCGTCTAAACTCTGAATCCTCCCATGCTGCTACCGGGACAGCAGCAGCAAACCGGGGGGCTCCGCAGCACCTCGCTAAAGGCCGCTGAGGTCGAACTAAAACGTGTGCAAATAAACCCTTCAAACAGGAATCGTTTCACGCCCTCACAAAGCAATCGTTAGGCTCCCCACCCTGCCAGGGTCTAAAATAGTGCACAGGCGGGAAAATAGCACTGGGCAACGCACGGAAGAGTTTCCTTGCTGTGATTCATCCCACACTGTGAGGGATGTTTCCAGGGAGCTGACAGCTACCACCTCTGCTTGCTACATGATTCAATAGCCTGCTCATCGGAACTTCGCCAAAGCATATTTGCAGAGGTCATTTTCTGCAGACAATGTACTAAGTATGGAGCGGAACTTTTAAGAGCAAAACACAACTTTTGAAATCGCGGTATACGTTAAGAGGGGTGTTGAAGTGGCCACATGGTTTAGCACAGACCGTGCAAGTCTTCTAAAGGTATCACCTATGCCGGTTCGCATCCCAGGATGCCTAGTTGTCCTTTACAAATGATTTTTGCTACCCGCTGGGTAGGGCTGAAACGTGGTGCAGAGTTTTCCCCCAGCAAGCCATGCGGGATCACGTTCACTCCTGTTGCTTTCCAAAGAGTAGCCTAAAAATACACATTTCCCACTCCAAACATCAGGCTGGGCTACACAAACATAGTAACGTCTCCGTCCCGTAATAGGTGGGTACACCGAGCTATCGCAGTTCAAGCGGCCGGTTTACACTGCCCTCTAGCGCCGGAAAGGTGTGTGTCCTAACGCACACTAGCAATGAGCATGTTACTAATCCACCACCGGCCCCAGCCCCATTTGTGGAAACTCTTCAAACATTCCTCATCACTTGAACTCCCGGTTTAGGGAACCTGGAATCGCTTTCCTTGCTGAAATTTCTTCTCCGCGTTAGGATTATTTTAGGGGAGCTGATGATTGCTTTGAATTTCTGTTTTCTTCTCTCCTTTAAAAACAAACCGACAAGGAATAGCGCACTGAAGGATTTGTTTTGAAAAAGGCATGCAAAGAAAACGACACGGATTTTGCAAATGGTAGAGAAAATGCGAGTTGAACTTAGACCTTTAGGAATGGCTCTGTCCTATAAAGCAAGCTCGACAGGAGATGCGGTTTGGTGCAGATGCCTCTATCTTTATTATCAGAGGGGTAGCCGTGTTAGTCCGAATCTGTAAAAAGCAACAGAGGGTCCTGTGGCACCTACTTGCGTCTGATGAAGTGGGCGTGCACCCACGAAAGCTTATGCTCCAATACTTCTGTTAGTCTTAAAGGTGCCACAGGACCCTCTGTTGCTTGCTATCTTTATTGAAATTCTTTAATGTACAATGACGGGGCAATAACTGAACTTCAGGATGACGTTCTAGACCCACACTGAAGTCAACTGTAAATTTACCATATATTTCAAAGGGACCAGGATAGAAGCCTGCAAAAGTCTCTGTAAAACTCCCGCATTCTAGAGAACACGCAAAGAACTGCCCAGGATAGACAGGGATTGGGGAGTCTTGTTCATGCCCTGAGGATGTCTGAGGCGGAGGAAGGCTTCAGATAAGGTAGCCCAGTTCTGAACGGGAGATTGGGGCTAATGCGTTCATACGACCAGAGATGGCAGCTCTGGTATTGGAAGCAGAAAGAGGAATTCTATCTAATGGGAGGTGTGGGGGGGAGAGCGAATTGGAATTTTTCTTTGTTAAATATTCCCCATTACAAACCCTGCTGTGCAAATCATCGGAGTGTAGAATGCAAATCCATTTGTTAAAACCCCTCCCATGGCGCAGAAAGGAAAACACTCAAATGGGGCATTCTAATTGAGTCAGAAGGGAAATCGGTTGCAGTTACATGGGGGAGAGGGGTGAAAGCTTTAGGGACGCTGGTGTTTTAGGTGGTTCTTTGCTTTCAAATGTACCATGGCCCTGGAGCTGATAGATTTAACACAACGAATATAGTCCTTTATTACAGAAAGTGTTATCCTCTCATGAGGCGCTATCTGGATCCTACTCCTTCTCTGAATTACTCCCAAATATTAAGGGAGGAAGGGCCTTGTTTAGGCTTTTTAAAGTTGTTTGTGTTTTAATATATTTTTATGACAGCTGACAAGTTGTAAAGGGACTTCAGGGAGCTACATTAATTTCTTATTTATATTACAATCAACATCCCTGGCTAGTAAGGGCTAAATCCAACTGTCTTTACTGAGGCAAAGTCTGACCGCAGAGAGGTCAAAGTAAGATTTGCCAGATCTGGCCCCACGTTAACGAAATCCGAATAAACCAGTTTCAGCGAGTTTCCTCTCCAAAGACAAAAATACAAACAGGCGAAAGCTCACATCTGCTAAACAGGGAGGATGGAAAATACACGCATCTGCCCAGACCTAGGTGTTTGCGAAGAGCGGAGAACTGGTTGGAGTGGAGTGGATGTAAATATAAAGCAACAACATATTTCTCTCACCTCTCTGGGAGCAGCCCCCTGACACCCTCCTGGTGCTCATAACATTTTACTATCAAAAGCCTGAAAGTTGCCAAATCCCTTCTTTGATGTAAAAGCCAGTGTGGTGGATTTAAATTACAACGCGACTGGTTTGATAAAACATACGCTTAAATCCAACCCGGATTCCCATTACGAGCCACGACGATTTGTATCTCCGAAAGAGTTCGACTTTCGAGCTCCTGGCCTCCACCTACTCCCCTTCCCGTGCGTGATCATCATCCGGAACGTTTCAGTGTCTGCTAGGCTTACTCCCGCCGCTCCCCTGCTGTCTAATCTCCTCCACACAGCCAGGTACTGGGGGTTTGGCTTTGGGGACGGGTCAAAGGACAGGGCTTTAGCGAGCCCGCGGGTGTCTGCCCTGTCCATTGCAAGGAGGCAGGGTGTCAGACGTTCCTTCTCTGCTCGTGAGCCGGAATCCGTGGGATGGGGGCAGCGTCTCTCCAGGACCTGCTGCGTTTCGTAACGAGCCCCGGCCCCTCCCCAAACCCTTTGGGTTTATTAAAAGGCCACAAGAGACGCAAACAGCCCCAGCGTTTTCTGGGCAGACCCTCGGCTGAGCTCCAGAGCGACACGGGCGAGCAGAGGGTTGGGTTTGTGTGACCCTCCCCATAAGAATCAGATCAGCTGGCAGGGCCGGCTGCTGGGGGTGAGGTTAGGGCCCTGGCAGCCCCCCGGTCTGTGCACGGCTCGGTTATGGGATTAACGCAGCAGGCTGGGCTGGAGCGAACTTTTCCCCCGGGGGGAGTTGATCATTTTCACTCCAGCACCTGCGCTTGATCGAAGGCTTTTGAGAGCCCCCCCGGGGCTCGGGAGCCCAGGCGCAGGCTCTGGCACTGGGGGAGCCCGGAGCGCAGCGCAGAGCTAACCTTGTGTCTCCTCTTCGCCAGGGGCCTGTGTCGGAAGGAAATCTAAAATGAAGTTATGGGATGTTGTGGCTGTCTGCGTGGTGCTGCTCAGCACGGTCTCCACATCCCCGCTGCCCGCCGGTAAGACGCCTCCCGAGGGGCCCCCTTCAGTGGTAGAGGGGCCTGAAGACGATCACTCCCCCATCAGCCTGCCGCCTCCCTATGCTGTGCAAAGTGACTGTAAGAAACGTTCCCCTTCATAGTCACCACTGTCTGTCTTACTAAACCCGCTTTCCAGTGTCTGACCCCGAGCGCGGGGAGCTCGCTGCGCGGAGCGCCCCATGGCTGTGTGACTACAACTGGGGGGCGGACGGGGGTTGGGGCATGTTAACTGCGGGGCAGTTGCTACACCTGCCCCCATCCCGTTTGCGTGGGTGTACCGGAGGGTTTGTTTAAAACCTGTTTTTCTATTTGTTGCTCCCCTGTGAAAGATCCATGCAAAGGAGGGGGAATTGCTGAACTGATCCCAAACAGGAAACACTTCTTGGCCCCGCTAATCCCTTTTCAGTTCTAAAAATCTCATTATGTATTGTTTGTATGACAGTAGCACCTAGAACCCTCAGCCAAGATTGGGAGCCCATCCTACAAAACACTGTACAAACACGTAGGGCGGCTGCTGACCTCATTTAATTCCCCCCATTTATTCCAAAATAAGATTGTCCACATCAGACTTACACTGAAATAAAAAAGGGTTTTAGGAAACTGATGTAGTTAAATCAGTGTAAGCCTGGCTGTAGACCAGCCCACAGTAAGAGACAGTTTACAATCTAAATTCTAGGTAATAATAAATAATAATAATACCTAAATAACAAAAGGTCTCAAAGAAAAGCATTTTCAGAAAGCAGTGTGATTTTTAAATACACACTGGTGCTCCTTTAAAGTTAGCATTAATATGACTCAATAAGCAGTGGCAACATACACAAGTTAATCGTAGAAGTATTCAATTAACATGAAGGGCCTTGTCTTAAACCCATAAAAGCAAAGACCCAGAATTGAGACTGCCCACTTTGTCTTTAACTAATTCTCTTCTCTGCGTAGATACTGTAATTTATATGGTACAAGGGTATAGCTCAGGGATCGCCAACCTTTGGCACGCAGCCCATCGGGGAAATCCGCTGGTGGACCGGGACGCTTTGTTTACTTGCAGCATCCGCAGGTTCAGCCAATTGCAGCTCCCACTGGCCACAGTTCACTGTTCCAGGCCAATGGGGGCTGCGGGAAGTGGCGTGGGCTGAGGGATGTGCTGGCTTTCCGCTTCTTCCTTCTCTAAACTTCTCTCTTCTTTCTCATTTTCCTCCCATTGGAATCTTTCCCAGACCTCACTCTCCTCTCTTTTGAGCTGACCCTCTTACTGTTCCATGAATGACAGCATCCTGTCTCAGTCCCTCATCAGATGCAAGTTGACTAAAAGAACTCCCTCCCCAGTTTTCTTCTTCTTGCGCAGATTGCTGAGGCTTTATGATGCTGTGATCTTCCTCTACATTGTGGTACATGGAAAGGAGGGTGTATGTGCAGTGGAAGATTCCACAAAACCTCAGGATCTGCTTTGCAGGCATTTGTGCCAGTCTCCCCTACTCTGAGCTGCAGCTGTTTCAGTTCTGTAGGAAGAAAAAAGCATTAAGAAGAAAATTGTACTAGTAACTTTACGATGACAAGTTGTCAGTTCAGGGTGGTGAGATATCAGTGTTCCATTGTTCTGAGTCCTACAAATGAGGCCTAGAACTATTTTGTATAACACCAGCCCCTCTATTAAGACATTTAAAAAAAATGTTATTCCACCTATGCCATCCGTTCCACAGCAAGCAGAGGAGACAGACAGGCAGCAGAAGCATTAGTCACTTACCCACTAGGTCTAGTCTATTTCCAGTATGAGAATAACCAAACTTCTCGTTGTTTGGGTATCTTGTAGACTAAGGAGTGAGATGTCCATCGTGTGGGCCTTGTGTTTCAGGTGGATCATGGCACGATGAGTGAGCAGCATCTTCCAGAAGTATGTGCCCAGTGTAGAGCCAAGCAGAGATGGACGAAGGGTCTGCTCCAGTATGTCAGTTCCTATGTTCCTACTAGGGAAATTATCCGCAGAAACCTGAGCAATATGTTCTTGCACTGTTCAAACCTACAATGGAAATCACAAATAGATGGGCCTGGGTGCAAAGGGAAGATGAGCATTGCTACTCACCCTGAGGTTAAAGCTGGATAAGTGAGTCTCTCAAACATTTTTTGTGGTCTTTTCCCAAGACTGGTGAAATATCCATGTTCAGAGAAACTCCTGTTTTGGCTACATCGGTGAACCTGATAAATAGCAGGGGTTTGCTGAGCTGGTTGGCTATATGCTGATATTCCAGCCTAATTAGTTAAATACCTTGATTCACTTTATTACTGTTTCTGTTTTAAAAAGGTGTGGCATCTGGATGCTATTCTGAAAACACCGGGCCTAATAAGCTAACAATATCCAAGATGTGGCACTGCACTTCTGCCCTGAGTGGTGCTTGGGTTCCACCATAATAATAAAGGGTGTAGGCAGAACTCAAAGTACTATAACTGGCATTTGAGTCAGGGACTGAATTTTGATAGCAGGGCCTGGGGGAGTCTGAGTCATGATGGGATGAACGCCATTAGTGTGTAGGCAGAGGGCATGCTGGTGTATTTCCATTTCCCTGAAAGCTATTTTCACCATTACAATAACAAAAAAAAGTCCACTAGAGGTTTCACCAATCGCTATTGATTTTATGTGGAAGGTGTTCATACAAATACAATATCGAGAGAGAGAGATCCAAGACTCAGGTTCTTTTTAATCGGTTCCCCTTCCACAGTTATCTTCCTTAATCTGCTCTCATGACTTTGGTCCCATTCTCTTCCACACATCACTTAATGTGTGTGTTTGTGTGTGTGTGTCTGTCTGTCTCTCTCTCTCACACACACACACACACACACACACACACACGCATCCCAACACAAAAAATGGGTTGAACACTACCTGTAATGGGACTCAATGGCTTCTCCTCCTCTTTGTGGTTCTTCATCTTCCCTCTCCTCTCTGAAATAGCTTTCCAATATGCTGCCAGGAGCAATGGTTAGCCTGGTTCTGGTTCAGCTCCCTAGAAGGAGGGGTACTTTGTCCAGCAGTGGCCTGATACATAGTTGGAGTTGTCAGCTCAGTTACACCAGGACTTTCATATTTTCATCTTTCCTCAATTCACTGCATCATTTTCTCCACGAGGTGCTCTGAGGTGCTGATAGTGCTCTGAGATCACAAGATTATGTAGCACCAAATTCAGATTGGCCTGAAAATTTCTCTTGCCCCAGATTATGAGCAAGGTATTGACCTCTCAATCTGACCAGATGTACTGTGATGACCCCTCCATTTCAGATCAGTGGTCATAGAGTAATGTGCACCAGCAGTCACAGGCTTCAGCTATATGATTAAAGTAGACACCGACTTGCTCAATGTAGCCTGCACTAATTGCAGAGCATTTTAAATCAGCCCCCTGCTTCTTGATCATGTAACCAGCAGAGCCATATGGGATAGTTTGTGACGGGGGAATAGAATTGCTGGAGGACATATAAATATGACACACGCAATACATAGGGCAATCCAGTGTGGGATATTTTGTTGTAGCAACTGAGAGGAAGCTATCCTAGTCATATAGGCATGATCAAGGGTCCTGTATGAGCAAGAGTGGCACACAATTTGCTTCTATAGATACTATGTACTGTGTGAACACAAAACACATTATAAATAGAACTATGCCAATAAGTGGATACAAGATGTGGTCAAATGGTTATGTTTGAAAGCCTATCTATGAAAAGAAAACCTAGTGTTAGGCATATATATTTTGTAACTGGGTACCCCAACATGGCTGTAACTGTAGGGTGAATGGGATCCCAAGTCACATAGGCCATTACCTACAATGTGATCACTGGCACAGGGGGAGCACAGTGTAAGATCTAGCTGTGTACTTAAAAAAAAAAAAAGAAAAGAAAAAGAAAAGAAACAGTGTAGAAGCTTCTCTCTGTAAAGAGGCAGAAGATGTTCTTATAAATTGCAGTACCTGAGGCACAGTGAGATTGTTGAATAGTGATTTGATTTCAGGGATTTGTCATGTGTGTTTCTTTTTAAAAGATAATTTAGTGTTAGGCCATTTAACATCTTTAGCTAGAGCATAGGCACCCACTCCGTAGGTGCTCCAGGACTCAAGCACCTACTTGATAGGGGGTGCTCAGCACCTGCAGGGCTAGATTACTTTTTGTGGGCCCCGGCGGCCAGACTGTGACTCCACACCCCTGCTCTGCCCTGAGGCCCCACCCCTGCTTGGCCTCTTCCCCCCCCCCCCCAAGGCCCTGCCTGCCATTTGCATGGGGAAGAGGGGAGTACCCACCCGCAAAAACAAAAGTCAGTGCCTGTGAGCTGGAGTGTTTTTATTTACTATATTAGAAATACAGAGGAAATGTAGAATAGCCAGGATATGATATTGGAATGCAAGCTCTTCAGGGTAAGACTTGTCTTTATATTTTGATGCTATATAGAGATGAACACATTGTTAGTGCTAAACAAATGATATGTTCTGATCTAAATAGACTTTATTCTATATGCCACTTGTTAGACACGTACAATACCTAATACAACATCATTCCATTCTGTGTCAAATACAGTGTCTAATAAATACATTCCCATGGAAGGCGCTCAAAGAGTTAACATTAAAATGACCGAGTCCTTCAAGAGGAAATAAATGTACAAGTATATATTTTTCTCCTTATTCATATTTTAAAAGTATATATTTACTTAAAGCACATTCAAGAGAAATTCCTGGAATTCAGCTGTTCAGATGACCATGGACCAAAAGATGGGAAAGAAGTTATATGGCTACTACAGTGTGATCCTCAAATGGATGCAGTTTAAAATATTGTCTAAACTGTTCTGATCTCCATTAGGACTGCAGAGACTAGAATTCAGAAATAATAATCTCTGCTGGACCTGCTTAAAAAAGATGTAGAGTTGCACAGGAATCTCATAATTCTGAGATAATATCCTAATGGCAATCAGTAAGATCGTAATATTAAATAATGCAGTTACATGAATCCTCAGTTTTATGAGAAATTAAAATAGAGTGGGTTTCAAAATGTTTAGTGGTGGCAAAAACAGTTAATCCTTGACACTGGAAAGATATAACAGGACTAGA